GGCTGAAAGTCAAACTTTAAGTGACTTCAAGAGAAATAATGACAACACTGGCTCTTCTTCCTGAAGAAAGTAAGGTAGGGAAATGCAGAAAAAAGGCAACCTGTCAGTAAGTGCAAAAAAGAATCCCTTCCCACACCCAAAAACACATACACAGGTGAACAGTGTAGGAAGCTTTGCTCATTTCAGCACGTGAGAAATTTCATCAATATAAATCATATTTCGGATGATCAGAGAATACAGTCAGGGGTTATTAAATTCTTTCTACTTCCCCTTCCAAAAATTACAAAATGTCTAAGTACGCTTCTCAGCAATAACTCAAATTTAGGCCCATTCAAAAACCTCAAGGAAAAATAAGTCTTTGCTGTAATTTTATCAAAGATAACTGAAAGATAAAATTCTACTCCAATTTTAAGTCTATAGTTGGTGTAAAAAATACATGTAAAATCGAAACCCTGCTGTTCACTACGCGAACAAAAACCTCACAAAACCTTCCTGTCCTATATCTTGGTCAGCTTTTTTTCTATAGCACAATTTTAAGCTAAGTAACAGCTCAAGTATTCACTTTGTTAAACCTCTTGATATAAAAAAACCTTTAATTTAGCCTCCAGGAGATCTGAGCTTGGAAGGGTAGTGCTGTCACGTTCACTCTGACAGAATATGCAAATCTGCTAACTCTAACAGCCATTCCGTGCTTTATACTATTTACAAACAATCTTAAAATGATATCTGATGCACTGTGTCAGATTTTTGAAGCTTATTGCATGATCAGAAGCCACAGATCAAGTTTTAGCTATAGAAATTTCGATTTAACTGTTCTAAGTCAGAGATTTATGCTTGCTACTGAAATCTGTGTTCTTCTTTCTCTCAAGTAGAATGCAGCCAAAGAAAATGAGGTTTAGCAAAATGTAAAACTTAGGTGCAGCTGAGATATACAAGGTGGTATTCTACAGATAGCGTTTAAAAAAATAAAAAGTTAAAAGTGAACCCTTCTCTTCTTTGTCATTCCATGAATGTTTATCTATGATTTCTTTGTCTTTATCCTTCTTCAGCATTAAAATGAAGCAACAACTCAGAGGATTTCCAGAGTTTTCATTTCCAGATTTCTATATTAGAGTGGAACTGAAGATAAGCTTAATAAATTTGGCTATCCGAATAACATTTAGAGTATTTGAGCTGCAAATGTAATTCTTACATAAGAACTAATATTTCCTGTATATCACATGCATTTTTCATTTGAATAGTTTCCACATAAAATATAGCTTAATAAACTGAAACCAGTGCAAGTGTAGACAACACTTCTTATTAATTCTTCCTGTGTACACCACTCCTGCGTTGTGTTCTTTCCTGACCAACTACCAGATGAAGTCTACAGAAGATTGATAAATGATGTTTTTTTTCCCAAAGATTTAAAACTGTTTATTCAGTAATGTCATCCATGATCTCATTTGATCCCAGTTGCTTCCTCTAGAGATCAAAGAAGTATAGCTTCTTTTCATCAGTTTATTTCATCCATACACTCTACTTTGCAGTACTGCCCAGGTTTATTTTAAGTTTAACATCTTAAAGATGTTTGCTAAATTTCCTGTTTTTAACAGCTCCATTTTTCTTCCATTTTCCATCAAAATATGAGAATTATAGTTAACACATTTATTATAAACTTGTTCCTTGGAAGAACAGATGTCTCTGTAGAGACATAAAACGATGTATGTTCTATGTAAATTAGTTCAAAGCACATTTTGTGTAGAAATATTTGTTACAAACGTAAATACAGTAAAAAAAATACAGTAAAAAAAGTTTTATTTCAGACTTTTGAAATATTACATTCATAAAAATAATATGGTAAGTATCCTCTGTTTTCTGTATTTAATCATGACTTAAATAAAATGAAAAGTACCAGTGTTTTGGAAATGCTACTGAAAATGAAGGTAACAGGAAATATATATATTTTTTCTCAATGTATTTATGACAGGAAAATGTGCTTCGAAAACATAGGACATATACACCCTGCAAAGTCATAAAAGAAAAGCCATTAAATGGTCAATTTAGAGTCAGCATTACTTCAAACTTGCAAATTGTAAGCTAGCAAATTTTGAGATTGAATATCTTGGAGGCAATAGAAGTTAAAACAACACATTAACTGCTACAAACAATGAAAATTAAAGGTGAGATGTCAAGGATCCATAGAAGATACATGACGGTAGAGCAAGGATTGATTGATATGCTGAGACTGTTCCTCTTTCAGTTGAAAGTGAATACATCATTTATCATACACTCTGACAATATCTGTAGTTGTGTAATTTGATTTCTGAAAGTATTTGTTCTGTGTGTATGTCATATTTCAAATTAATAACCCAAAATTCGTTCAATTCCAATGACCTTTCCACAAAAGCTGTGGATTTTTACCTTAGTTACTGATCAGTGAGAGATCTTCCATGGTAAACAGTGTATTGCTTGTCAGCTAATCATATGTATTCTATGCCAGGTAACAAAAACTGCTAAGATTTCACTTAAGATGATTGTCAATTTAAGGAAACTCCAGTAAAGAAGAAATAGAACAATTAAACCAAGCAAATGGGATGAGTTCAGTATAATTTTCCATCATTGTTGAAAAAATTAGGTCGTGCTGTTGTGATAACCTGAGAAAAGTAAACATACCATGCTCCTTATAAAATCTTAAATGTGCTTTACTGAGTTATGGAGTATGTTTATCAGAAATTATCAACCCTCTCAGAACTCTTCAGATTCTGCCAAACACACAACAGAGACAGACAACTTTGCTTTTGTATTTTGACTTAGAGTTAGAAAAAGTACCATGTGAGGCTTATCTGCATTAAACTTGAGTGCTGTAGAATCATAGAATCATTAAGGCTGGAAAGATGACTAAGATCATCTGGTTCAACCATCAACCCATGCCCACAACCATTTTAAACCATGTCTCCCAGTGCCACATCTGCCCTTTCCTTGAACATCCTCAGGGCTGGTGACTCCACCACCTCCCTGGGCAGCCTGTGCCAGTGCCTCACCATTCTTTCTGAGAATAAATTTAAACTGTCTGAATGGTGAGTATGGATTTTTAAGCACTAAATAAATGCTAAATAATAAGACCTGTTGTATTTTCATAGTGTATGCCACCTAACGTATAACAAAGATCTTATAGGGATGCTTTCTAGTCAGTTTGCTTAATAGGTGGTATATCTTATAAAAAGAACACCATCTGAAATGGTTTGAACTATTTGCAGCTGTGCTGAGCATCTTGGGACTGTAGATTTTGCTATCAGTAGGGATAATGCCTCCTTCAAAATACATTATACATAAAATTTAAATTGTGAATAAAATGAAAAAAAAAAAAAAAAAAAAAAAAACCATGAAAAATACAGCTGTGTATATATCTCCCTAAGTTTATGTCTTCACTCTAGTAAAAAAAGGAGGAGGAGGAGATACAGTTGTAAAGAAATTTGTTTTGCTTTAAATACTTTAATAGTGCTTTTACTTTCTGTGAATAAATTATTACTTAGTCCTTATCAAATTAAATTTCTATCACAGTCAATACAAATACATGATCTAGTCCAAATCAGTTTAAAAATGTACAATGGCATTAAGGGAAGGTTGTATATCTAGTGATGGTGAAAGTATTGTACTGAAATGTCTCTAAGCTTCTTAGATAGTTCCTAAATATTCAAGCTAGAGCTAGCATTTAATAGCTAGTTATGTTTTGAGAAACATCATTAAGATATTAGCAACTAATTTCTACTGTGAGGAAAGAAGCATCTTGATATAACCATTTCCTGATAAGTGAGAGTTAAGACAAGGAGAAGAAGCCTGGAGTGATGATCTGATTCTTACTCGGGAGCTCATGTATGAACGCTGATGGCTTCGTTCTATTTCTCAGTTTGGGTACTTGCGCTCCCATTCACTTTTTACAGTGCAGTGTTTATTGAAATACTTCCCTTCCTTAGAGAATGTGAAGAAAATGCCATGTGAAAAGCCTGAAGGTATAACTTCTGCAATGGAAAGCTTTAGAACATTTAGGAGTTATTTGCAGAGGCACAGCTCTCCAAAGCTTAAAAGACCTCACTGACATGACTGTGATTAGCTGCTCAGAGGAGACTAGGGTATAATTTCATATGAAGAGAGTCTCACAAAATTTGCCCATCACTGCATATCAAGGTACCAGCCTGAATTCAAATCTGGTTTGGGTAACAAGTTAAAATGAGTTTGCACACCTATTCCTGGGGTACGTTTATTTCTAGACCAATGCCACCTTGCAGTTTGATAGAGCAGTAAAGTGAAAAACTTTCCCAGTGGCTGCCTTCCCTGCGTGTGCTTCTCCTTATGTGAAATTAGTTCTGAGTAAATGTGTCATTCACCATCAGAATGATATATTAATAAGCAAATAAATAATTAAATTCACTTTTGCCTTAGACAAATCACAACTTTTTGTATAGAGTGGTTATATGCTTTAAATATGGAGGGAATTATGTTTTCTTTTTACTTTCATTAGGCGTATAGTTATAGTTTGGAACACCACTCAAGAGGGAACAGTAAAAGAGAAGCATTCTTATCAATTACATCTCACTCTACCTTTGAAAAATAAATCTCCCTAGAAATGTCATGTAAAATAAAGAAGTAGCAGTCAGATTTCTTCTGGGAGTTTAATTTCAGATATTATCCGCAACCAACTGGTTTCATAAATCACATATCCAGTATGGGTCTTTGAAAGGTATCATTTAAAATACACCTTTAGCCAGCTCTATAGCACTTTCTTAATACTGCTCAAACTTTACTTAGGTTGTTGTCTTTACCAGCCAGATGAATGTCAGAAACAAATTAACATGACCGATGAACTGCTGAATCACAGCCTGAACCTCTGATTGACCACCTGAGGTAAGCAATGAGTCAGCCCTGGGAGCACAGGTGAAAACAATTCTCCTGTGCTACTGGAATGGGTGAAGGCTGGCTCCATCTCTCCTAGACCCCATTTAAGAGCTGACTACCATGGGGGAAAGATATGTTTTGGAGATTGCTCTGCTTGGAGTCTTCTCAGTGAGCCTAAAACAAGGGTAAGTTTTCCATCTAGTCTTATTTAGTGTGATAAGCTGTTTAGCCTAACTTTCCTGTATATTTCTTAATTGTAGCATGTGTATATTCATTGCTTATACAACAGACAATAACAGCAGGTGGTGATATATTACATAGAAATAGCTGCTGTAGCTGGAGTGTGTTACATTGCTGGTGCTCAGAATATTGATAAATTCTCACCCTTTTCTGTATGTGGCCACAGTACAGTTGTATCAGTCCAGATAACTGTTTTTCTTCACCTAATAGAGATGTGTTCTAGCCATATCAGGCATGCTGATGTGTCTGCCCCATGCTCATGAAATCTGCATCATTCAGTGCCTCACTTCGCATCCCTCATCTTTTTTTTCCATTTTTGGATCCAGACTCCATCTCAGAGATGCCCATATCCTTCTTGTGTACAAAATAGCTATTATCCATCTCCCTGCTTAGGAGGATGAGAAAAAGCAAATGCAACTAGAATTGAAGATTGGGTGCTGAGAACATCCTCTGAGCACTGACCAGCCATGGGAGAGACAAGGCAATTACAAGTGTTGTAAAGCAGAACACCTTTAGTGAAGTGCCTGCAGAATGAATTTTTTTTATCCTGAATACTCATGTGACCTAAATGTGTGTATTTGTTTCCAAGATCACAAGTGTAACAGCCTTTTTTTTTCCAAGATTATTCATTATTCCCCAGCTTCCAAGAAATACCCTAAATATCTTTTTTTCTTGATTTTCTACATGCCTTTACATTCCCAAAATGTATCTCATAGGCCAGAGTCCACATGCTTTAAGGGGTTAGGGTTTTTTGTTTATTGGTTGGTTTTCTCCCCAAATTAAATATTAAGTGATTCAAAATAAGAGAATGAAGGTAGGGTGTATGAGAGACTCTATGTTCTGCTGAGTTCACCTGCACTTCTTAATTTCCTCTTAATTACTGCTGGGGGAAATGCTGCCTCAGGAAAACTTTCTGCTTTCTGAAACTACTGTTGTTCCTTTCCTAAAAGTCAGGGGGATTGGAACCTGATGATCCTTAGGGTTCCTTTCAACCCAAGCTGTTCTATGAATCTATTCATCATGGAGGTAATTCTCTTGTATTAAAGTAGACTGAGATTATTTTTTATTCTTACTTGTTTTAGATAATGGAGGTGCTGTAAAATAGGGATGCTAAATACAATTTCTCAGCTTACAAAATTTTGTCTTACAAGAAGGTGACAAAAGTTTCTGAAAATAAGACATAAGAAATTAATGCAAGAAAATACAGCTGCATGGGGAACTGGGAGTAGGAAAAAATGACCAATAAATGAGTAATTTAAATCTCCTTTAGAAGAGAAAAGAAGCAGTGAACTGTTTAATTATTCCAAAGGGAAAGGAGACCCATTAATTGGTCTTGGCACAGTTAAAAGTACAAACATTTCATGATGCAGCATTTTGGATGCATTCAATTTTCTTACTTGAAACAGCTGTAGTCAAGGTTCCACTCCTGATAGCTTTTTAAACTAAAATCTCAGGCACCTGAGGAGGGAGTGGGGGCTTTACTTTGCAAGCTCTCTCTTAAGAAGGGTTTTTCTAAGGAGTGGTTCCTTGCTGCTGCTATTTCATGTCGTACTGAGCAAGTTCAGCAGGGTTGTTACCTGCTGTAGGAGAATGATGGTGGAGTGTTCAAAGAGCATCTAACAAGAAGTGATCACAATAGCCCTGGTGATGCTAAGGTAATTTGTGGTATATGTTTAATAAAACTGTGTTATCTAGAAGCTCAGTTCCCTTCAGCTAAAGGAGAGGCTTGGGGTGGCATGCTGATGGATTTGCTCTACTGTTTTCTGTTTCTTCTATTTGTTTTGATCACTATCTCCTGTTGCTTTGGTTTTTCTTAATAGCTCCTTCTTCAGGGTTGCAGTAACAAGTCTGTCTATGGCACAATGTGGATGTAGGTTTAGTCTGTGGTGTGCTTTGTTTGCTGTATAGGTACAAAGAGATCTTAAATTACCCTGTGTAACTACTGATATGTTCTGGAATTATCGGTCTGCCTGAATGAAGATGTCAGCATTAAAATGGTGGTTATTATATTCTCTAATGGGGTACAAGGTGACTGCTCTTATTGCTCTGGTCTGTAGTGAAAGTGTTTAGGGGGGGAAAAAAAATTATTTTATATTCAGACTTCTGGAGACAAGTTTTGTTTTTTTTTTTTTTTCTTTGAATTGATGTAAGTTACTGAAACTCATTGCTGTTAATAAAACTTAATCAGCATATTAGAGGTAGTGCATATGTCTTGTTTTAATCTTCTTTCTGATCATCTGTAAAGAGTTCTTTTAACTACTCTCAGTTATTTCTCTTTGTAGTTGAAGATGTAATGGTCAAATATCAAAGTATAGGCGTACTCTTTCCTCCCTGAAGAATTTTGTGCAGGAGTTCTACAGGCTTTGGAGGACTCCTTTTCTGCAGTCTTAGCTGGGCATCCCATAGTCAAAGGGAAAAATTCTCAGATGCAAGAGCCAGTTCTGAAGAATCTAAGTAGCTTTTTCCTTCTGATGGCCTGTAGTTCATAGATCCATACCTCTCTTTGGGGAAAATGTGTAGACAACAGTACTAATTGCAGTACTGTAGGCTTCTTTCAGTTTCCTTCAAGCACTGATGGGTGCACAAGCTTCAGTAACTCAGATCCAAAGTCCTACTTGCTATTTGTGTCTACAATGATTCTCTGAGAAAGTATTGTCAGAAGAACACCCACAAAACTTTGCGGAACTTTGCAGCACTTGTGACATTGAAATGCTCTGGCTGTATCAGGAGAGTCAGGGTCAGAGGATGTTTATTCTTGAGGCAAATGCAGTGAAAATTCTATAAGTATAGACTCTTAGAGGCTTTGAAGGCCATTGTTTGTCTTTTTCTGTGACCCTGAGGCACTCACCGGTTCAATGTTTCATAGATTTTGGTGGAATGGAAATAGTAACTTCAGCCATTTCTTTCTTTCTTCCGATGTCTTGATATGAACAGGCTTATGTTATGCCGAAGGAAGCCAGTGGATATGAGATAAAGAATGGGATTTATTGTGTTATCTCTACTGCCGTTTTTGCTGTCTTAGCTCTCATACTTGGCTGTGCCTGGGTAGCTGTGTGATGTGTAATCTTCTCTCTCTTTACATAATACTGCTTGGAGTCAGCATGCAGCAGCCTGGATGAGCCTGGCTGAAATACTGGGGACATCCTTCTCCCAGAGCCAAAGGAAGAGGTAACACATTCAACAGGAGTAGTCTTTATCTTTGCATGTTGGGTGTGATCCTGCTCCTTGGAAGCTTGGGATGCTCAGTAACTTCATTCAGTCACATAACGCTTCTCTCTTCAGTCTTCAGATCATGATGCAAAAATCAATGCGAGGATTGATTGCTAGTGCTGCTGGAAGTTACTTTTGTTTGCTTCTCTCAGGAAGAAGGAGAGGTGTCAATGAGAATTCTTATTGGCTTAATGAACTGCTGAAAATATCTATACATGCCTACTTCTTGAATTTACACTAGAAACATTTCTCTGAAGGGAAGTTCAGCTATGAATATGAAAAAGAGAAAGCCAAGGAGGCTTAAAAAAAAAAAAAAAAAAAAAAAAAACACTTATGTATCATCAAGTTTAACTTTCTTGTCCATTTTTAACTGTCAGTATTGCATTCAATCACAGACAGGCACAAAGAATAGAGAATTTTCAGGCAGACTCTGATGCAGGTATTATACCTTAATTTCTGTAGCATGCAATGAGAAATATTAAGGTTTTAGGACCTTTCTGAAAACACAGGGGAACTAAGTAAAGATGTGGATTATTTATTATCCATATTAGAACCTAATGTTAATGTATGCTAAGCAAGTGACAAAGTTTCAACAGAAATTAACTGGAGCTATTATTGTCCTCCATTATGCAATTCCAAATCTATTTTTGATTGTAACAAATTGTTTTTGTGAGATTAAGTGTAAGTTACTTTTTTAAAGTGTGGGTTTTTTTGTAACAAAAATGCCCCAGGTTCATTTCTGCAACAATGGAAAAATGGACCTACCCAGGAAAGCAAAAACACCTGGCAGATATTGCAGCTGATATTTGTCAGCTAAATTTAGACAAATATATTTGTCAATGGTTAAGCTATTTACACTGCTGCTGTAGTCAGCAAAAAACTAAGATGTAACACATGACCTGCTTCACATGTCAACACTACAGCAATATGATCAGTGTCCTGCTCTCCTCTGACAATATTGATTTCAGTATAAAGAGTTGTTTGAGTGTAAAAAGAATCTTGGGTCATTAGCTCAGACATTTGTATCAGATTGATCTCATACCATCATTAGTTTTCTAATGATGAAAATGTGGTTATTGTGCAGTGAGATATCAAGCTTGAGAAGTAGGTCCACAGGGGGAATGTAACAAAGTTCAACGAGGTAAAGTGCAAAGCCGGTTGCATTTGAGGGAAACCAGTCCCAGGTATGTCTACAGACTGGGAGAAGGAGCTTAGAGAAGCCTTGCAGAGAAGGATTTGGGGGTTCTGGTGACTGAAAAGCTGGATGTGAGTGAGCAGTGTATTCTTGCAGCATGGAAGGCCAAGAGTATCCTGGGCTGCATCAACAGAGATGGGTGGTAGCAGAAGAAGGGAGGTGACTGCCCCTCTTCTCTGACCTCGTGAGGCCCCTGTATCTCTGTTTGCGTCTTCCAGAACAAGAAGGATGTAGAGGTGTTTAAGAGGGTTGAGAGGAAAACCACAGTACTCAGAGGGCTGGAGCAGCTCTCCTATGAAGAAGGGTTGAATGACTTGGACTTCTTCAGCCTGGAGAGGAGAAGGATATGGGAAGTCCTCACTGCAGCCTTTCAGTACTTAAAGAGGGAGCTTATAAACAGGAGGGTAGACCAGCTTTTTACAGAGCCTGATAGTGAAAAGACAGGGATCAATGGTTTTAAACTACAAGAGGGGAGACTTAGATTAGGTATCAGGAAGAGGTTTTTCTCTTAGGGCAGTGAGGCACTGGTACAGCTCCCCC